GTCAGAAGAAAGCATCCTGACAGCTTCAGGCCTGGAATATGGGATATTCCTGAGTCTGGGACAGCAAAGGGGAGAGAGTTGGATGATGATAGGATGATGTGTCCCTTTCAGCTCTCATTTCTCCTCCTCCATCTCTGGGGCTACTAGTCCCTGTGCAGCAGATCTGTGAACAAACTGACATGTCTAGATAGCTCCTGGTACAAATCCCTGCACTCAAAGGGCTTTTCCCTGCTTCACTTATGCCCTGCCTGTATATACTTCCATACTGCACACACACACTCCAGCAAGGCACAGATTTGCAGCAAAATTACCCATCCAAGTGAGTGGCCAATGGGATTGTCTTGTAAAGTTCAGCACCATACTCCTACCTGAGCCCTAGTGCAGTGCCTGCTCTCATGATTCTGAAAAGCATCCTTGGTTAAAACAAGACCTTTCCAGCCCATTGCTGAACAACAACAACAAAAGCATGTGCAAAGAGCCTGGCATTAATACTACTTCTCTCCATTTGCCGCACAGTGTAACCAGGTCCTGTACAGCTCCCACCCAGGGATTGTCAATTATTGATGGAAATGCATTTAAGATGCCATTTTCAAAAGTGGAACACACAGCTTAGGGCTTCTGCCACTCTCTCTTTCAAATTGGATTTAGCTCTGGCTATTCATTATAGAACATTGTTTTGGAAATGCCCAGCCTGGGAATCCCCACAGCTGCTGAGCCAGCAAGCTGGTAATTTATTTATTTCATGGGCTTGCCGATCAGAAGGTTGGCAGTTCGAATCCCCATGACAGGGTGAGCTCCCGTTGTTCGGTCCCAGCTCCTGCCCACCTAGCAGTTTGAAAGCATGCCAAGTAGATAAATAGGTACCGCTCCAGTGGGAAGGTAAACAGAGTTTCTGTGCGCTGCTCTGGTTTCACCAGAAGCGGATTAGTCATGCTGGCCACATGACCCGGAAGCTGTCTGCAGACAAATGCCAGCTCCCTTGGCCTGTAAAGCGAGATGAGCGCCGCAACCCCAGAGTCGTCCGCGACTGGACTTAATAGTTAGGGGTCCCTGTACCTTTACCTTTTACCATGTATTTACAATGCCACCTCCTAGCAGTCAATTTAGCTAGTGGATAACTGCCTTTAGCCATTGTAATGGGTGAGGAGTTTCATCCTCTGGCTATCACAAGTTGGTGTCCCTCTTACGTCTTTGACTGAAAGGCTTGTTGTATTCCACCCCCAACCTCATTCTCAGCCTGGTTCCCCACCCTAGCCACTCTGGTTGGCTTCCAACAAATTAAAACACAAGATGACATCAAATAGGGATTGAACCAAGGACTCTGCTCTGTCAGTAAGCTAGGGACCTTCCTACATTCCTCTTCTGTCACCATGTCATGGGTAGCTTAGAGGTCACACCAGTCAGGATGTCAGGCAAGGATTTTCTCTCTCTCTGACAGTAATAGGAAACTAACGCCTGACTTCTCTCCAATAGCAGTACATCCATTGCCACCTAGTGACTAAAACTGTTCATACAGGTATTTTTATTCACCAATGTTCTTCATGCAGGAGCACCAGTAATTTCCTGGAATGACTTGTAGAGTTAGAAGGGACAAGGGGGGGGGGTCATCTACTCTAACATCCTGCAATGCAGATCTCTTTTGCCAATGTGGGGCTCAAACCCACGACCCTGATATTAAGAGTCTCGTGCTCTACCACAAGCACTGTTCCTAGGGAAATTAGAAAGGCACCTACAATCTGATATTGCCTACTGAAAATGTGTTTGTTTTGCCAAGCATTTTTTTAAGGATTAATCTGCTTTACTGTCAATCATTTGTTCTGTATTATTACAATGTTATAGCTTTAATGATAGCATTATGCTGGTTTAATTATTTTGTTTTATGCAGTCTCACTATTTTTTATGAGCATGCACACTTCTTCAGATGCATGCACACAAAAGCTTATACCCAGAACAAACTTAGTTGGTCTCTAAGGTGCTACTGGACAATTTTTTAATTTTTTAATTTATTTTGGCTGTGTCAGACCAACACGGCTACCTACCCGAATTTGTTTTTTATGAGTTGGTGGTTTATAAATATTCCTACTACAATAAAATATCTACTAAATAATAATAATAATAATAATAATAATAATAATAATAATAATAATTTATACCCCGCCCTTCCCGGCCAAGACTGGGCTCAGGGCGGCTAACACCAAATATATACACCACACTGGCTCTCAGATGTGCTTGCAGCTGCAAGTGATTGTTATTATCTTCATGCCCTGAAAAGCTCTATCTGTTTTATTTTTGCAGGTCAAGCTGCTACTCAAGTTGCTGGCAGTTCTCTTTGGGTCAGCTGGCAACCCTCCACAGTTACAGCTCAAGGCTTTGAACATCTTGCAACACCTCGTGACTCTCTTGTTTTCGTCCTCAGGAAAAGATTGTATTCTGGGGAGAGGAAGGAATGTATGTCTTGCCTGGAATCCTTTGCCATATTCCTGTCAGGAGGGGGAGATATCAAGGTTCACAATTCATGGAAAACACCTCACTCAACAAGCAAAAAGCTCTTTCTAAGACAGAGATTCTAAGAAGGCGTCTGCCAGGCAGAGAAGGGGATTATGCTGTGGTCTGGACCACGGTTCTGTTGCATTATTTGTGCACCTGCAAAATTTTCACAGAAAACTGTCTTTTGAGATCCTTAAACTCACCTGTAAATGTGATGTCGTGGGCCTGGCTTGCAGGGAACTTGTCAAGGTGTGTGCATTGCAGGGCTTTGAGCACCACTGATGTATTACTATGGTCAGGATTGGCTTTATAGTACTTTTCATTCTCTAATTACATCTCGATTTCATTCCCATATCAACGATCCTACAAAATCTGTGTTTTTCCCATTTTGTAGATGGAGAACTGAGACTAAGGAGGAGTGACCAGCCCAAGGCCAAGCAAAGGGCAATTTCCAGGAAGGAAATCGAGGAATCGACCTGTCGTTTACAGGCATTCCCAATATTTTCAAGGCAGATGGTGAAAGGTAGCTGTGTGTTACGTGAAACTCTGGCACCACCACACCCAGCTTCTCCTTTCAGGAATATTGCACAGTTCTGATTGTCACATTCCAAAGACACAGGGATACAGATAGATCCCTTATGCCCAGTATTGCCTACACTTTCTGCATGCAAGGCAGATGTTCTGCCACTGAGCTATAGGGCCCTTCCCAAGACAAAACTTGTTCTTTCCATTTGTATATGTTCTTCAGTTTTATGGGTGGCGCTTTTTTTAGTCTGATGTGTATTGTTGCATTTGTTCAATATATATTGCATTTATATACTGTGTGCAAACTGCTTTCATGTCACATTATTCTAATAATGGAATCATATAATCATAGAATTGAAAGGGACCCTGAGGGTCATCTAGTCCAGCCCCCACCATGCAGAAATCTTAACTAGATCATACAGGGCAGGTGGTCATCCAGCCTCTGCTTTAAAACTTCAAAGGAAGGAGAGTCCACCACTGTTTGTTCCACTGTTGAACACCACAATGAAGCATGGTGAACTATTTTCAAGCAAGCAAGCAAGCAAGCAAGCAAGCAAGCATAGTGTTCAAGACAGCACAGAAGAGGGCAAGTAGTAAGGAGAGAGAGAGAGAGAGAGAGAGAGAGAGAATATAAATAGTTCCAGGCCAGGCCTAAGAGGCCAATACATTGCTGCCTCCTTTGCCGCTTTCACTCAGCAGCCCATTAAGCTTTTCCCTCACAGGGTGGGTGAGAGCCGGATGTGAGCCACCGTTTGAGGTTTTCATGAGAAAAAACAAAACAAAAGAGATGAGCACGAAAGTTTCCTCTTGAAAACAGATCAGCTTCCTCCAGTCTCTGCTGACGCAGATTGGGTGAGGTGGGGAGAGGGGCAGGAATGGGCAAGGGCCTCCAATAGTCCTACCCTGGGCAGCTGAGATGCAGAGCGCGATGCCAGATTCACCAGGGGCTCACCTTAGCACCCAGCATGCTCTTCCCAGGGCCGGGTAAGTAGCAGCAGCCAACAAATTAAGGTGTGGCCCTGTCACTCATAGGCTGTGACCTGCTTCTGAACAGACAGGCTTACTTCTGACACCGTCCTCTGAACAGAGGTGAGGGAAGGAGTGGAGGTGATATGGAATGGGAATGAGGAGGATATTGAGAAGGAGGTGATGGAGGAGAGCAATAGGGTGGGATGGGAGTGGGCTGCAAATGGAGAAAGAGAATGCTCTTGGGGGGGGGATGTTTTTTCACGCGGCAGTTTATTGTTGATTCAGTTGATTCATGGTTTTCATCACAGTGCCATCTCATAAACACCCCAAAATGTGATGTGATTTTGATTTAATATTTGTATACCACTTTTCAGCAATAATGTGGAGCTGAAAGTGGCTCATAATAATAATAACAAAGCTTTAAAAAGGAGCAAACAATGTTTCTATCCAATATAAGCTTACATATGTACACACACACACACACACACACACACACACACTACCATATCAGTAAAGCAAAAACAAATATTTCAACAAACAATTAATGCAGTTCAGAACAAACTCACAATGATTAAAAAAGATATAATCTAGATTTATCATTTCAGCAGGGTTTTAAAAAAACTTATTGGCTTTTCCATGGAAATGGTAAACCAGGAATAAATGGGAAAACATGGTGTTGGGTGAATAATAATAATAATAATAATAATAATATGCCCCAGCCATCTGGCTGGGTTCCCACAGACATTCTGAGCAGCTTCCCACAAAATATTTAAACATAGAAAACCTCAAATATTAAAAACCTCTCTGTTTTTATGCTGTGCAGAACTGGCATGCCTGAGCAGCGCTGAGTTCACAATAAACTGCCATGTGGAAGAGCCCTGGAAGGACTAGAGAGGCAGGAAAGAACATAAGAAACTGCCTTCTGCTGAGTCAGGGCACTGGTCCATTTAGCTGTGTATCGTCTGCCCTGACTGGCAGTGGCTCGCCAGGATTTTAGATAGGTCTTTCCCAGCCCTACCTGGAGCTGCTGGGGATTGATCCAAGGACCTTCTGCATGCAAAAGCAGATGCTCTGCTGCTGAGCCACAGCCCTTTCCCTTGCAATACAGACTCTCTCAGAGGAGCTCTAGCCCTTCTCCTCTAGCTGTACCAGGGAATGTCTTCAGATTTTAAAATGTCTTCCCCTGCTTGCCATCTCTTTCTCTCCTGTGAACTACAAGCACTTTTCAATGTAGGATGTACTCACTGCTGTGCCTTTCACATCCTTAATGAGATGAATGATGCTAAAGAAACCCAGGTCTGCACCCTCTCAGATTGGTTAGAAGTTCCCGGGAGGCAGTACCTCTCAGATCTGGTTTCCCAGATGGGAGAGGACCAGATATTTAACAGTGTCTTTCTAACATTCACTTTATTTAAAAATCCCCAGTGTATCCAAGTAGAGCTGCCTCAAATCCTGGAGAACCTATGACAGTCAGCGAAGACAATACTGAGCTAGAGTTTCCAATGGGCTGACTCAGCATATGGCAACTCTTCCTATGTTTCCATTTGCAAGAGGATGACTCTGCCCATTGGCACTAATGGAAGCTTCCCTCGAATTGCAAAAAGCAGCCCTGGTGGGGCAGGGAGTGGTGGAATTCTGATGGGGACCACAGCTGAGACATGGGGTTAAAGTCCCTTTCTCCCATGCAGGGGGGTCCTGATCTAGTTTACTCCCACCTCCACATCAGCTCATTTGTTAAGAAACAACATGACAGAAGGCAGCCTACATGACAAACGTCACATCTAGTCCGGTAAATGAAACTTGGCTTGTCCCACCACCCACTCTAACCACTGCAGGCTCTTTTGATGGTCTGCTGATAGAAGCTCAAACCGCAAGGAGGAAACCAGCCTCTTGTGGCCTCGAGTGCAGCTTGTGATAACAGCTCTGCTCCTCACTCTCCTGGAGGTAAAGGGAGATGGCTCACATTACATCCGGTGCAAGTGGTCTTGGCACAGAAAAAAAAACAAACCTAACTTCAAATGCTCAGAAAAACACTTACTTCCCAGAAGTCCCATCTGGAAGTCAGGGCAGAATCGAGTCACAGCTCCTCAGCCAAAGCAAATAAAGCCCAAACTGTGACATAAAAGAAGGGATAGGCATGTCATTTTAGGGGGTAAAACTTAATTTTTGCTAATTTTCAGCAAGAGGTCTTAAAATATTTTTTTGAGTATGAGGAATTCAAATCTGCTATTATTTTTATGGCTGGCTAACAGTTAGCTTCATAAATTTACATTTGACGAAGAAGCACATAAACTGCTTTCGGACAACCAAAGAATTTTAATTTTACCTTCTGAAAATGTAATGTAATGCTAAATGATAATAATAATAGAATCACAGAGTTGGAAGGGACCATAAGGGTCATTTAATCCAGTCCCCTGCAATGTACATTTTTTTGCCCTGGACCCCATGACCTTGAGGTCAGAGGTTTTTACACATCCATTTATCTCCTCCTTCCACTCAGACAAGGCAAAGGCATTCCAGTGGTACCTCGGATCAAGTACTTAATTCGTTCTAGAGGTCCGTTCTTAACCTGAAATTGTTCTTAACCTGAAGCACCACTTTAGCTAACGGGGCCTCCCACTGCCGCCGTGCCGCTGCTGCATGATTTCTGTTCTCATCCTGAAGCAAAGTTCTTAACCTGAGGTACTATTTCTGGGTTAGTGAAGTCTGTAACCTGAAGCGTATGTAACCCGAGGTACCTCTGTATTACAGTTCAATGGTGTGTTTTAGCCAGACAAAAGTACTAGAAGGGAGCGTGAAACAGGCCTGGTGTGGGATGTCATTTGGGGAGTGTTCAAAGAGCCTTAGGTAAAGGTAAAGGGATCCCTGACCATTAGGTCCAGTCGTGGCCGACTCTGGGGTTGCGGCACTCATCTCGCTTTATTGGCCGAGGGAGCCGGCGTACAGCTTCTGGGTCATGTGGCCAGCATGACTAAGCCGCTTCTGGCGAATCAGAGTAAAATGACGTTTACCTTCCCGCTGGAGCGGTACCTATTTATCTACTTGCACTTTGACGTGCTTTTGAACTGCTAGGTGGGCAGGAGCAGGGACTGAGCAATGGGAGCTCACCCCGTCATAGGGATTCGAACCGCCGACCTTCTGATCGGCAAGTCCTAGGCTCTGTGGTTTAACCCACAGCACCACCCGCGTCCCTTCAAAGAGCCTTATAGAGCTAATATAACTGCAAGTACTCTGGAATAATTTTTAATGATTTCAGTGCAATTTTACACACATTTTACTTACCAAGAAAAGCAAAATTATATTAATTTAACCAAAATATATTTTAAATGCCCAAGTCATGCTACAACTTCTTAGCATCCCTCATTTTAGGAATTTGAAAGTTGAAAAATTCAACATGTCCTAATGGGGCATACCTTGAAAAACTAAATCACCCCAAAGAGAAACAATTGAGCTACCACTCCTCTTAGGTGTGACTCTCCAGGTGGTGTTGGGGGCTAGGGACAGGGATAAATGAGATTCAGTTTGCATGGAAAGACAAACTTGGGAAACTTGCCTTTCCAGAAACAATATTCAAACTGAAGCCCACACAAAAATGCAGCTCATGAAGAAATGCAGAGAACAGAGCTGGAAAGATGAAAAACTCAGAGGAGCTGAAAGTGACATATTTGCCCAACCCTAGCTGGCTCTGAAGAGAACCGGAGACCAACAGCAGCTGGAGGGCTGCAAGTTCTCCATCATTGCTGTAGCCCTTTGGAGTAGGGAGGCCTCATGCAGGATTGATCTCCTCCTTGGGGGTGCATTGGGATTCTCTGCTCAAGATCATTCCAGAAACACAACCATCAACCTGAAAGAGCTACCCTGATGCTGCTGTTTGGGTGCCCATTGTTCGTAGAGTGCATTGCAGCAGTCCAAGTGGGAGATAACTAGGGCCTGCACCACTCTGAGAGAGAGTCTGCAGGCAGGTAGGGTCTGAGCAAGTGTACCAAATAGAGCTGGTAGACAGCTGCCCTGGACATAGAACTGACCTATGTCTCCATGGACAGCTGTGAATCCAAAATGACCCCCAGGCTGCACACCTGGTCCTTCAGAGTTTCCCTCTTCAGGACCAGGAAGTCCCCCACACCTGCACGCCCCCTGTCTCCCAAGAACAGTACTTCTGTCTTGTCAGGATTGAACCTCAATCTGTTAGCTGCATAAATGGTGCACAGCAAACTTAAGATGAGAAAATGGAGAGAAAACAAAATGGTCAGATCTGTCCATCTCCAACTTTTAACCAAAACTCCAGTTGTTTGCCTGTTCTGGGCAACTCAGCAACTTGCCTAATGAAGGAATGTTCCACCAGGAACCATAGCTATCTCTTTGACTGTGAAGTGTACTTTAAGGGATGGTGGTGGTGAAGAGAAACTCCTTACCCAGGATATGAAAAGGCAGTCAAGTAACTCAAAACTGCCCCAAGTGGAGAAGATTGATAACTGCTACAAAGCTGAGCATCCTATGACCTCAGCACCCCAACATTTTGTTCTTCCCTAGGGTCTTGCCAGTCATGGACAACAACTTCACCTCCTGGCTGAGCCACTCTTCGTGGGAGCGCCGGAGGGCATGGGCCAAGCCAAGTGTGGCTGTAGAAGAAGAGGGGTCCCATGCTGAAGAGGAGGCATCCTGCACACCCCAAAAAGCTCTTGAACCCTCATTCTTGGAGGATGGTTTCTTGCAAGGTGGGGAAACTGCTTACACACATTTACTCCTACTCTCATTATGTAATAATATTTCAGTGTGAGGTGCTTTCAGACAGTGTATACAATCTCCATGGCTTGTAGACAAGCTGTTTTATGGGGGTGGTAGGTAGAAGCTGACACAGGCTAAGTGAGCTGAACTTGGGTCCCATTGAAATTAATGGCCCAATTTTTCATTCCTTTAGTACAGCTTGCTTTGATGCATCCTTTTGTTTGTGGGCTTCCCTTAGGCCTCTGGATGGCCATTCTGAGAAGAGGGTGCTGAATTAGATGGATTTTTGGTCTGATCCAATAGGGCCAACTCCTTGAGCCAGTATCATCTATCTATCTATCTCTATCTATCTATTATCTATCTATCTATCTATCTATCTATCTATCTATCTATCTATCATCTATCTATCTATCTATCATCTATCTATCTATCTCTATCATCTATCTATCTATCTATCTATCTATCTATCTATCTATCTATCTATCTATCTATCATCATCATCTACCTATCATCTATCTCTATCATCTATCCATCTATCTATCTCTCTGTCTATATCTATCTATCTATCTATCTATCTATCTATCTATCTGT